TATATATATATATAAAACGTATATATTAAGGTAACATATTAATTCTGGCATTCAAGTCTGTAGATCCTTCATTTATGGTTGTCTTCTTGCTTTGTTAATGTTAAGCAGTGTTTGTCTTTTGTTACCGCTATAGATTTGACAATTTCGCATTTTACAGTTTCTATTGACAGTAGAGGCTATGTGTACAGTTTTGGGGATGGAGAAACATTGCTTTTCCTCTTTCTGTTGGTTGAGTCTTTCCTCTACCTCTGTGGTCCCACTGCTCCATTCTCCGCTCTCTCCTCTTGCTGTTGTTCCTGTAGACTGCCTGGAAAGACACTGTGTGCTCACTGTGCTTACTCACAAGACCTGGGTTCTTTCCTCTGATAGTCTTCTCTTAATGTTGGGGCTTTTCTTTGAAGTTTTGGTCCTGACTCCTTTCAAATTTTCCTCAAAATTTCTAATTAGATATTGGCACTCTTTCCTTTTTTGCTTTTCTGATTCTTTATTTTTGAAAAATGTCTTCAGTCACCATATGGAATTTTGAATGAGAAGGAGGTAAGAGGCATTTAAACTGCTGCACAGAATCCTTAAAAATGGTGGGAGTCCAAATCATTTCCCTGATGTTGTATGTTTTAAGATAAATGCTTCAGGAACGTAACCAAAAATAGTGTTCAAACTTAGGACTAGTTTCCTTGGACTTTCTGTAAAATGTTCCTTTACTAAACTTCTGAAATTGGTTATTAAGTGCCACATTTTATGTACAGTGGAGTTCTACTCTGCCATAAAGAAGGATAAACTTGAGGAATTTGTAGGAAAATGGGTGACATTTGAGTCCATAATGTTAACTGAAATAAACCAGACTCACAAATTTAAATATCACAGTTTCTCTTATATGAGAAACCCTAAGTATGAATGAAGAGCCAAATTAAAGATACGTAATAGGAAGGAGGGAGATCTTTTTCAAAAGGGAAGAAGAACAAGAGATGAAGGATGAGAAGAAGGAAGGAAGGGAAAAGGGATTTAAAAAGCAAATTGAGGAAAAGAACAGAAAGAGTTGTTGCAGGTGGGAAGAGGAGGAAGAGTTGCAGGGATCTGGGAGGGAAAGGAGGGGAAGAGAACAACAATAACAAGAAAGAATGAAGATGGCTGTGTGCCTACAGGAGCTCTGCGTGATAAACGTGATTATTATGTGTTACAAACACGTACTAATAAAAACTTTTTGAACAGAAAGTTGGTTATTTATGAACTACCATGAGCTCTAACAGCTTTTTATGAGTTTTTAAGCACTGTGATCACATAATGCCTGTGTTAAGATGTTTTGAATTGCTTATATAATTGTGACCAATTCATATTTTAATATCATCCATTTATAGTATCGTTGAATGTTTCTGCCCCATGGAGGACAACGCTCCTTTTTTTCTTGCCCCCTGGTTGAATTTGGATAGGAGTTAAGTACAGCAGAAGTTATTCTTACCACTTTTTGGGTCACGGTGGATTGTGATTTTCTTTCAGCTAACCTTAACGTACACACAAGGGGGCTCCATTTT